ACACCTCGAATTTCTTCCGAGCCCCCCAGATCTCTTCCTAGCCTCCCAGATCTCCCCCAACTCCGCATTTCTCCCCCATGTTTCTAATTTCTAACCAAATCTCAGAGCTTTCTCTGCCTCGGCCCCTGTACCTTCTGCCCCAGGAACGTCGCCCCTGCTGCCCCTGCAGCCCCTCCTCAGCCCCTTGGGAGCCCCGAATCCCCACCTTTCCCAGACGCCCCCAGAACCGCCCTCCCGCGGTAGGTGCCTTGGTCCACCCTGGGTCAGCCGAGCTCGGGAATGTCTAGCCCCCCCACCCCTCCTCCTCTTCCGTGGGGTGTAGGGGGCTGGTACTAGGAGACGCTGCAAGTCTGCCCAGGACTGAGGCTGGCACCAGTCAGGGCCTAGGTGGCCCCAGGCGGACACATCTGTCTTCCCTCTCAGTGTGGCTAAGGTAGAGGGCTGGGGGAGGGGTGCCACACTGTGACCCTGGCAGGCTGGAGGTCTGGAGTGTGGGTTCCAGAGTTTGGGGTTGGGTAGGTGAATGGAGCAGGGTCCGAAACTGGGCCTCTGTTTTCCCCTCTGATTAAGGAGTATTCATTAAATCTCCAACAAATGTTTATAAAGTACCTGCTGTATGCCAGGAGACACTGTTCAGTATGCTGGGCACACAGTAGGGACCAAGTAGTGCCCCCATGGAGCCCACAGTCAAGACAATAAGCAAAAACTGTGAAAGGTCACAGCAGTGTGTGCCAAACGCAGAGGGTGGTTTGTCAGGCAGCTTCCCCACTGGCCTGGTGTGAGGATTCCTCTGAGCCAGGCATGGAAAGTTGGCCTGCACATAGGTGCTCAGTAAACACTTATTGAATAACTGCCCCTTCAGTTTCCTATACATGTTTCAGAGGCAGTCTGGTTATGTTTTGCTTTCCAGGTCTTGTAATATTTCTTAATTAGCCAAAAGGAGTGAATTGTGCCTGTACTATGCACCAGTGCTGGTGGGAGCAGACTAGACTCGTTGATTGTCCCCGACACTAGGAAGTCAGCTCTTCTGTTTGGGTCTCTGCTATTTCCTTCTCCTGACCAGCATTTCAACACGTCAGGCCATTTCCAGGCAGCCACTTACCTCCTTACCTCCTTCCCCCCAGCGCTGCCTTTCTTGTCTGCACCACTCCTGTCCTCTGCCCAGTCAGGCCCCCCCAAGCCTCTACTCCCTGAAGCTGGCAACCCCCATGCTCTCTCTTCCCTGTGGCTGACCTTCCTAGAAACACCGACCTTGGCCCTGGTGCCCCAGTGGACCATATGACATCTACTTAAAATGAATTTTTTTAAAATCTTGAATCCTAGACTAGGGTCCCTCAACATCAGCACTTAGCAACATTTGGGGCCAGATCATTCTCTGTGGAGGGCTGTGCTGGGCACTGTGGGGTGTTGAGCAGCATCTCTGGTCTCCACCCACTCGATGCCAGGGGCACCTCTCCCCATAGTCATGACAACCAGAAATGTCCCCAGACATCTCCCAGTGTCCCCTGGGGGAAAGAGTTGCTCCCAGTTGAGAAGTACTGCTCTAGTCTGTAAATACCCACTGTGGGTACTGGTCAGGAACAGGCAGTAGGCCTCAGCCTGCCGAGCTAAGGGGCAGATACAGTGTCCTTGGCCCCCTGGAATGGAGCTAAGGCTGTGTTTTTCCCATGAATATGACATGCTTTAAGCATTTGGTGACTTAAATTACAGAGTTTGGGATACCCTCCTTGATGTCTTTGTTATATGCCCTTGGAAAGGTCTTCTCCCTGACCCTGTTTTCTCTCCACAACATTGGGAGGATATGAGTACTAGGCTCATTTGTTCATTCAACAAGTATTTGTTAGGCACCTGTTCTGTGGTTCAGAGTCCCGGCAGTGCCCAGGAGACACTCAGCCTATACTCTCTGATGCCCACTGGTCAGAAGGCAGATAATAAATGCAAAAAGTTTAATACACAAGAAAAGTTTGCCCAGTGGCAAACTCTGTTGTGGGGGGAACAGAGTGATGTGGGAGAGACAGACTGGTATGGGGAGCTGAGGTAGTCCTCGAGGGCTCCATTGTACCTGAGGTGGTGCTATTGTACCTGAGAGTTGAGCTTCGACAGTAAGGTTACTCAGGTAAAGGTCTGGGGATAAGGTGCTCCAAGCAGAGGGAATATAGTGTCTGCAAAGAGCCAGAAGTGGGAATCAGCATGGCATTTTTTGAGAGAGAAGATGTAGCCTCCATATGGGTTGGCAGTGCTGTTAGGCATAGAGCCAGCACACGGTAATTGTTAGCACACCATATTAATAATGCTACTTATATCAGTTAGCTATGTATAGCTGTGTAACAAATCACCCCAGAACTTTGTGGCTTAAAATCAACAAACATGTATGATCTCACAGTTTCTGAGTGTCAGGTGTCTAGGGGCAGATAGGTGAGTGGCTCTGTCTCAGAGTCTTTCACAGGGTCACAGTCAAGCTGTCAGCTGGGCTGCTTCATCTGAAGACTTGACTGGGGCTGGACTCGATGGGAGTCCAAGCTTGCTTCCCATGTCTCTGGTGGCGGGGGCCTCAGTTCCTCGCCGCATGGGCCTCTCTGCAGGGCAGCTCACAACATGGTTTACCCCCAACAGCATGACAGAGAAAAAGTGACTAAGAAGAAAGCCAGTGTGTTTTATAACTTAATGTCATGAGTGACACCCCATCAGTTCTGCCGTTGTCTCTCAGTCACAGAGGTCAGCTCTGGCACTGTGTTGGAAGGACTACCTAAGGCCGTGAACGCCAGGGTGTGGGGTTCACTGGGGCCATCTAGGAGGCAGACTACTTTCCTTTCAAACATGTATTGAGCACCTGTTGACTTCCAGTCAGTGGACCCAGAACTTTCCATACATTAACACAACTCAGTTCCCTGAAACAATCCCATAAGTGTCAGTATAGTCCTACCGTTAGGGGGACAATCTCTGGAACCAGACTGCTTGGATTAAAATCTCAGCTCTGTCACTGGTTGTATGATTTTGGGCAAGTGACTTTACCTCTTGGCTCACTTTCTTCATTTGCAAGTGGGGGAATAGTAGTGTCTACCTGGTGACATCAGGCAAGTGTAGGACACTCTCTTCTTGCAGAGGAGGAAACAGGTTGAGGAAGGTGACCCAAGGTCCTACTGATATGATAGGTCATGGTGGCCTTTGAAGGCAGGCAGGCATGGGTGTCTGGGCTCCTTCCCAGGGCTTCCCCCTTTCTGGTGGTAACCATGCGTTTCCTGCTTCCCACAGGTCTGCTCCCGTAGTTCCCGTGAGTCTGGTATGGTGAGCGAGTAGGGGACGCTGGGCGTGCAGGAAGGCAGGCGGTGTGGAACATGCCTCCACCAGCCAGCGCTTCTCCTGCCATCAGAGGCCACACCCGTCTTGCCCATGGCCTGCACGGGCCCGTCACTCTCCAATGCCTTTAGCATTCTAGGCACGGCGGGCCAGGACAAGCTACTGTATCTTAAGCACAAGCTGAAGACCCTGCGCCCAGGCTGGCAGGGGGCAGACCTCCTGCACGCCATGGTGCTCCTGACACTGGGCCAGGAGACAGAGGCCAGGATCTCCCTGGACGCCCTCAAGGCAGATGCGGTGGCCCAGCGTGTGGCCCGCCAGTGGGCTGGCATGGACATCAGTGCTGAGGCCACGGAGGAGCCCCCAGATGAATCCTGGGCCGTTGCCCGGGTGTACCACCTGCTCGTTGAGGAGAAGCTGTGCCCAGCCTCAATGCGGGATGTGGCCTACCGGGCAGCCCTGCACTCTTTCAGCTCCAGGGATGACCCCCAGCTCGGGCAGCTCTGGGAGGAGGCCCGGGACCTGTGCGGGTGGGACATCGTCAGAGACCTTGGGGACTTCCAGCCCCTCCACTCTGCTCTGGGCTGCCTCCCACCATCCTCAGCATCGCCTTCTGGGACCCGCAGCTGTCCTCAGCCCATTGAGGACCCCTTGGGCTGGAGCAGAGGATGCTCCCTGAGATCCACCGGCAGCCCAGCCTCCCTGGCCAGCAACTTGGAAATTAGCCAGTCACCTACCATGGCCCTCCTCAGCCAGCACTGCAGCCCTCGTGGGCCCAGCAAGCTGTGTGATGAACCCCCGGTGCCCAAGTCTGTCCCTGCAGGCTTCCAGGAGCCTGAGGAGATGAGCTGGCCCATGTCGGAAGAAATTGCTGACATCCTGGTGCCACCAGATAGCCCAGCCCCCATGCTTCCTGCGGTGGCCTTAGATGTAAGCCCTGCTGGCCTCTCCAACCCCCCTGACGCTCCAGACACCAGCACCCACTACCCGGTGGAATGTACAGAAGTGTCACCAGCCCCCAAATCTCTCTCCTTGCCCTCCAGAGACACCTGCCCTGTCAAGGACCAGATACCACTACAAATTCCCGTAGAAGATACCACTTCCCCGACAGTCCAGCCATGCCCACCACCTCCCTCGGCCCCAAAGACATCCCCTCCCTATTCTTCTCAATCGACTCCTTGTTCGGCTCACCCGGTCCCCTTGGCCCCATGTCCCCCTTCTTCCGAGTTAGAGTTGTCGGAGCAGAAATTCTATAACTTTGTGGTCTTGCATGCCAAGGCGGACGAGCACATTGCCCTGCGTGTGCGGGAGAAGCTTGAGGCCCTGGGTGTGCCTGATGGAGCCACCTTCTGCGAGGATTTCCAGGTGCCTGGGCGCAGCAAGCTGCACTGCCTGCAGGATGCCATAGACCACTCGGCCTTCACCGTCCTGCTGCTTACTGCCAACTTCGACTGTCGCCTGAGCCTGCACCAGGTGAACCAGGCGCTGATGTGCAGCCTTACACGGCAAGGGTGGCAAGACTGTGTGGTCCCTTTCCTGCCAGAGGAGAGCTCCCTGTCCCAGCTCAGTCCTGATACGGCCAACCTGCTCACCAGCCTGGTGTGGCTGGATGAGCACTCCTCGATCTTTTCTAAAAGGGTAGCCAACACCTTCACGCCTCATAAGCTGCGGGCTCGCAAGGCCAACTGGAGAAAGGAACAGGATGCTCGGGCCCTGCGGGAGCAGCGCCAACATCTGGAGAACGAGCGACAGCAGGCAGCGGCCTTGAATGCCACATACGCAGCCTACCTCCAGACCTACTTGTCCTGGCAGACGCAGATGGAGCAGCTCCAGCTAGCTTTCAGGAACCACATGACAATTGGGGCTCAGTTGCCCTCTGGGGCTCAGGTGCCCTATGGGGCTCAGGGGCCCCTGGGAGCCCAGCCACCCTTTCCTACCTGGCCCGGCCACCAGCCGCCAACCCTGCCTCCACAGCCAGCTGGCACCACAAGCCCAGCCTTCCCTCAGCCTCCGGTCTTCCCACAAGCCTCACCTGGGCCCCCTCAGAGCCCAGGGCTGCAGCCCCTCATCATCCACCACGCACAGATGGTGCAACTGGGGCTCAACAACCACATGTGGAACCAAAGAGGGGCCCAGGCCCCTGAGGACAAGACACAGGAAGCGGAATGACCAAGTTACAAAGCCTGATGACCTTGACTTTAGACCCCCTCTGGGCTGGACCTTGGAGACCCCCCATCTCCAGGGGGTGCAGTGGCAGATGGGGTCATCTGCTGTTTTCAGGACATTCCTGGGGACACCTTTATGTCTCAGGAAATTGTGCAAAATGGGCCCTGATGCCTTTCTGGCTCTTGGGGAAGCCAGAATTGGACACGGTACTTATAAACTCTGTGTATGGTGGTGGTAGGGAATGGGCTAGGGGATATTAGTACTGTGTTTTAATTATAATAAATATTTATTGAATGCTTCTCTAGTACCATTCTCTGGGAGACCTCTGCTAGGCGATTTGTAAGATAACAACATGCCTACTGTATCCAAAAAAGGGAAACTGAAGAGAGAAACTCACTTCTCCCTGTGAATGGCATGAACTGGAAGTTTCCTGTATTTGCTCATTTCATTGGCCAGAACATAGTCACAGGGCTCCTCTCAGGCTACAAGCGTAACTGGGAAAAGCAGTCTTCTGACGGGCTATATACTTTGCTAAAACTACTTTTAATACCAAAGGAGGTGGAGAGAAAAGATATTGGGGGATATTTAGCAATTTCTGCTGTAGCTCTTTTTGGGGGGTTGCGATGGGTCTACCTTGATGCCCTCATCAAGAATGGGCTCAGATCCCACCGTGTGATTTTGGGCAAGTGTCTTCACCTCTCCTGAGCCTCTGCTTTCTCAGAAATGGTTTTATGATTCCTGTGTTTCAAGGTCATCAGTAAATCGCTCCATAACACTGAAATACCAGGGTCAGTGTAAGGGCTTGTTAACTGCATGCCGTCAAGGAGGGGATTCATCTTTTCTTTTTTCCCATTGCTTTTCAGAGAGTGGAAGGGAGGGAGAAACATTGATGTGAGAGAGACACATTGATTGGTTGCCCCCGAATGCACCCCAGCCGAGGCTGGGGAGAGCCTGCAACCGAGGTATGTGCCCTTGGCTGGAATTGAACCCGGGACCCTTCAGTC